GGGCGGCGGTGGGGGCGCGGGGGGGGGGGGGAGGGGGGGGGGGCGTGGGCCCATGTTTGAGCATGGGACACCCTCTTTGCAAACGCCTTTCAGTTTTTGCTGCTTTAAAACCCAGCCCTTGCCTCTCGGGGATTTGCTGCAGCTGCCAGGCTGCCGGCTTATCTGGGGGGGATTACGGCCAGGAGCAGCTGTCGGTGCATGGCAGCTCTCTGGGAGCACAAAGCCCCTGGCTTGCAGCAGCCCGGGGAAACCCATGGGGTCGGCACGGCTCTGCAGGGCTGCCGGCTGAAATTGTGGTGCCCCCAGCTTTGCAAAACCGTCCACGTCTCGTCCAGCCCCGCCAGGGCCACGTCTGCCAGCGACGGTGCTGTGGCTTTGTGGGCACTGTGTCTATATTTAGGGTGGACGGAGTTTTTATAGAGCCAGCAGCTGCCTGGGTGGGGTTTGCCCCATGCATCTGCCGGTCCTGGGGGCCGTGCTGCCGGAGCCCTGTTTGCTCAGCCCTGACTCACGCCCGGCGCGGGCGGCCTGAGTCACTGTCTGGAAATAGCAGAGGTGCTTGGCGGCCGGCACTGCTGCCTGAAATTAGTCTGTCTCCAGCTCCCGGCACGTCGCGTGCCTGGCTCTGGCGTGGGGTCGGGGCGGGCTGCGTCGGGCTTTGCAATGTCCCCAGCCCGTCCCAGCGTGCCGGCAGGGCAAGGAGTGAGCCCGCATCCCGGTGCTTGCCATCAGCATGGGGTCCTGCGGGCTCTGGCGGCAGTGCGTGCTGGGGTGGGTGCTGCGCTGACCATTCTTCCCGGCAGGAGCGGCAGCGCCTGGAGACCATCCTGAACCTCTGTGCCGAGTACACCAAAACGGATGGCACTGAGCCGGCCGACGTGCACCGGCTCCTGGCTGGTGATGCGGATGCTGGCCAGCGGGTGCCCAGGGGTGCCATGACTCTGGGCCATGCCTCCAAGGAGCTGCGACAGAGGGAGAGCCTGGAGAGGTCGGACGAGGAGAACCTGAAGGAGGAGTGCAGCAGCACTGAGAGCACCCACCATGAGGTGAGGGGACGGCCATGCCGTGCCGTGCCATGCCGTGCTGTGCTGTGCTGTGCCATGCCAACCTGCCCTCTCTGCAGCACGAGGAGCTGGCAGGCCCCCGGGCCAAGGAGGCACAGCGGCTGGAGGAGGAGCGCGCCAGTGTGCTTGGCCGCCTGGACCAGCTGAAGGGCCACATCAAGGAGCTGGAGCAGCAGCTGCAGGAGACATCGCGAGAGGTGAGGGGACGGGGTGCCCCGCTGGGTCCCCCGTGGCTCGCTGCCCTCACCAGCCAGCGCCCGATCCTGTGGGCATGAGCCGGATCCGGTCGGGGCAGCCACCCTGACACAGCCATGCCTGTCCAGGCGGAGATGGAGCGGGCGCTGCTGCAGGGCGAGCGGGAGTCGGAGGCGGCGCGGCTGCGGCAGGAGCAGGAGGCGGTGCAGCAGCTGCAGGAGAAGCTCTCCAGCCTGGACGCCAGCATCCGGAAGGAGCGGGACAAGGTGAGTCCCGGGGCAGGGATCCCCCACTGTGGGCTGTGCCATGCCCACCCCGGTGCTTGCAGCTGGTGCCGCAGTGCCCCGTGCTGCGGCGTTCTCCTGGGGACACATTCTCCTGTCCCCGAGCTCTGCAGAGGCATCGAGGAGCATCCCCTCTGGGTTCGCGTTGTGGGGGGGGTTGGTCGGTCTGTCTGTCTGCCTGGGACTGGTCCTACAGCCCTGCCGGAGGAGGGCAGGGCTGATGCTTTGGGATGCGTTTTGGCCGCCGTCCGTTGCACCGGCGGGGTCTTGCGGGGAGGCTCTGTGCTGCAGGGCTTTCCCAGACGGCTGCTGCCTGCAGCGGGCAGCACTGACCCCAGGGTGGGGGCCTTGGCACTCCCTGCCCTTGCTGGGGGGCTGTGTCTTGCGGCAAGTCCCCCCGGGTCTGCTGCCTGTCGGGGCGTCTTCACGCGTGATGGCGGCCACCACTGTAGCATTCAGCTTGCTGGAGGTGGCCAGGAAATCGCTGTGGGTGTTTCACTCGGCTCGGTGGCTGAGGAGGGGGGTCCCGGCCCCCTTCCCCTGGAGTTGTCTTTGGTGCAGTTGCTGCCGTGATCTGCCAGCCATGCCCGAAGGCACCGTGCTGCTGCGTGCGTGGCACGCTCGTCCCGGCTGCTGGTTGCCGGCCATTCCGCAGCCTTGCGGGCAGCGTGGCATGGCCCTGGGTGAGATGCTCCACGGCGGGAGAGCTGCCAGGACCTGACTCCTGGCTGCCTCTGGCCAGCATCCCCATGCAGCCTATGCCCAGGTCCCGCCGGTGGCTCTGTGCCACCATGATGCAGCGCCAGCATCCCTGGGGGTCTGGCCAGCCCCGTGGCTAGAGGTGCCCAGGCTGTTTGGTTGCCTGTGGCCAGGCCCGTGCCATCTGCGCCTTCCAGCCGTGCCCCGACGGCGTTTGGGGTTTTTGTTCTGGTTTTGGTCTTCCAGCCCTTTGCAGGCATCTTCTCTAGCCAGGGGCAGCCTCGTGCAGAGCCAGGAGAGGAACACAGGGAAATCCCCCCCCCAACCTCTCTGCTGACCTAACCACCCGCTTTCCTAACTAGCCTGCACTAATTGCACTAACGGTGCCTGCTCTGAAGTCTGCCGTCACCTCTGACATCTCTGCATGCCTGGGAGCCCCCTGGGCACGCTGCAGCCCCTGTCCTGGGGCGCCCATCTGTGCCAGCCCTGTCTCCCCCCGGCGTGTCCCCCCGTGTCCCTTTGCATGGATCCCCGCGTCTCTGCGCTGCCGCAGCATGGAGCAGGGTTTCTTGCAGCGTGTGTTTCCCAACGCCTAGCCCCTGTCTGGGGCTGCCAGAGCTGCGGGAGGCGATCCCCTACACCAGCCCCATGTCGCTGGCCTCCGTTGTGCTGCTCCTGCGGCTGTGGGAGGGAGGATTGGGGACGCTTCCCCCTCCTCCTGGGGCCAGGAGCAAGTGTCTGCTCCCGACAGTAACTCAGCGCACCCTGAGCAGCTGCGGCAGCAGGGTTGGACCTCAGTCTCCCGTTTTCACTGCCATCCCGCAGGCAGCCCTCTCATTCTGATGGAGAGGGGTGGTCCGTGGTCCCTCAGCCTGCGTACAGGACCTGCTGTGCTTAATTGGCAGCGTCCCCGATGGTGAGCATCAATTAACAAAGCTAGTTAGCAGTTGTTCAGAAAGCGCACATGGTGCAGCTGCTTGCAGGATCGGGATGACTTTATCCGTGCTGTGAGCATCAATCTTTTCGCTGCCCGTAAGTGGGCTTTCGGCATGGAAACGCAAGGCTGAGGTCGAGGGCTGGCCGTAACCCCTCTAACACCACCCAGCCTGGGTCCCCATGGCTGTTGCTCTCTCGACCCCTCTGTAGATGCCATGATGCTCCTCTCTGCGAGCCCCCTCTTTTTCCAGCTGAGCCCCTCTCTAACTCTGCAGCTTCTGCATGGCGCGGATTTGAGGTGTGTTTTCTCTTTTTTTTTTTTTCCCCCCCCTTTTCTTTTCCTTTTCTTTTTTTTTTTTGTTCTGTCTCGTTCTCCCCTGATTCAGGAAAGGGCAAAGGTTGATGCTGAAAGGAAGGAGCTAGAGCAACTCCGGGCGCTTTACCATGAGTCGAAGAGCCACCTTGATAAGTGCCCCGAGTCAATGCGGGAGCAGTTGCGGGAGCAGATGCGAAGGGTCAGTGTCTCCCCCCCACCCCTCCCGGACCATGGCCCACCTCCCTCCGCTCCAGCTTAGGCCAGCTCTTCCCCACCAGCCGGGGCCGCACTGGGAGCGTCGCACCCGGGCTGGAGGCGGCTGGCACCGGGCACCGCTGTCCTGGTAAGCTTGCCGCTCGCCCGGGCCCGGGGTGCGGTGCTGGCTCGGCAGAGCACGGGGCTGCCCCCCGCCGCGGAGCCACCGTGCTCCTCTGGACCGGGCAGGGCAGGAGCATGGATCCTGCCCTGCAGAGGAGGGCAGGCTGGGGAGCCTCAGGGGGTGCGGGG